CACCGATGCACGCAGTTTCTTCACCTCAGTCGCACTAGTTTCGATCTTGTCTTCCATTTTTCATCATAATCTAGATTACCCTAAATTATGTGAACGGTGCCTTTAAGCTCTACTTCTTGTCTGTTTCAAATCATCAACATGAGATTTTTTGTTTTGATGCTGCCACGTCCTGCGTACCCACACATTTTTATGCACCTAGAAGAGTGACCCACTCGTTCGCTACGTTCTTTTCACATTTTCCAGAACTCGAGATCCAAAGAGAATGTTCGAATTGGAGATGTTTATAAATACCTGACTTTCCTTCTTTTGCTTGAATCTACTTACTTTTTTCCCGGTCTCTAAAGCGTTTAAGGACAAGACTATTTCCTTTCGACGTTCCCACTACTCATATGTTCCACAGACTTTTCTCTTAACAGTTAGATCCCCGGCTAACGCCGGGAGCTCCTCCCTTTCGTATATAAATAGCCTCTCGCCTACGTCTCCTCCAAATCTGGACACTGTGGTAAAGTAGAATAAGAGGTAAATATTATCGGTCAATTATAGGCACTCACTACTCTACACCCTTCGTGAGGACCTAGCCCCTTCTCGAGAGTACTGATTAACCACGTGTGCTTGAGTGAATAAGTTCATTCACCTCTTTTTTTCAACTGGACTGCAAAAATTCGCTGAGATTCCGCTTATTTTATGCACGCTTCTTCCGACGGGCGGAGACTTCTTCTGTCATTTACCATAACCTTTCCCATTCTGCCTCCTGTATTCCTACTGAATTTTGGAAGCTCTAGGTCCACTGGGACAGAAGTTATGAATTCCCGAACAGGTACACTTAGCGGATTACATAAGCAGTTGTATGCTGTTTTCGCCCAGTATTGAAGAAAACCGTAGCCGAAACCCTATAACCAGAGAATGAAACAGACGATCCAAGTTCTGAGTTAAGACGTTCAATCTGATTGTCGAGCATCAAAGCATATTAATATCTGAAAAGATGATTCACGTGAGCCGTCCATTACTACAAAAGTTTTTATTTATAATGAGAAATTGGAAATTACATATTATATTATATGAGTTGTCTGAGTACTCGTAAATAGGATACAACTTCTTAAAAGAATGCACAAAAGAAGTAGTGAATAAGGTGATCGTTGTGAAAGCCTATACAACTATATGTAATCTATATTATAAAATTTCTGCTACCCGTTGGACATATCACACAAATTAAGAAGCATTCTGAAGATACATAATTCAATCATACGGAGAAAACAGATCTACACAAACTTGAAGGATAAGCGTTACCTGGGAATGACTAATGACGATTCGATAATACGGCAAGTAGAGTTAACATCAATATATAATACAAAAAGTGAGGGCCAATAGGCGTTATCGCGGTCAAATATTCCACTGAAGGAGTTTCGTGCGTAAAATTCGTTAACATCAGGTTCAAAAAATCTGAGCACAGTGTTATGTAAATGGCGCTATTGTGCTTTTCGGAAAACTCAGAACAAGTGGCAACGTCTGGCCCTTTAACACATTTCTGGATTGCTCTGTCAAAATATGAAATCGGGAAAAGCTATGTGGCAGTGCGTATCACATCACCAAAATTGGCGCATTGAGCGGGAGTCGGGTACCTTCTCCCCAAACACCGCGTCGCGCTCGCCACACCTGCCGCGTATCGCAGGAGCGCGATGAAAGATGGGGCACGCAATCTGTGGGTTAGGAAGTCCTTTAATTATTTACACTTGCTGACCACTTTCTTGAATACCAGTGCGGTCTTGATCGCCGATAATAGAGGAGTCATTCCGAACAATCGAGTCTAATAAACATAGAAACAAAGAGAAACAGAAAGAAACAATCAAAAAAGAAAGGTATCAACGAAAATTATGGTGTTCTATCGATTGACCGGGAGGCGGGCTTAGTGATTAATAATTGCAGCACTTGCCGTTTGAAACCGCGAGACAACTAAAAAGGATTTTCCGCATGCCGCAGAGCGAACGTGGGAAATCGAGAAATTCCCGCCAACCATTGAGCGGTGCATTCTCGAAGCAACCTGTCGCAACATAGTGCAGGCCAAAAGAACTTATTTCATTATCAAAAAACCCTACTTGCTTAATCACTTCATTTTCGAGTGAGGAGGTGTTCCCTTTTGATGACCGGCGAGAAGGTAATCATCTCAGTTTCGTGCCTTCATTCGCTCGGGAGACGATTATATGCTCAGACCTGCGTAAGTTTGGCAGGTTGTGGGATAGTAGAAACACTACCACGCGATTTACGCATAGGGTTAACGACTAAGGAATCCCGATCCATGACAGTCACTCACTGAGTTCGCCCACGTTCTGGAGAGCTCATGATTTCTTCCTTTCCAGTGTCATTATATCTGGCCAGTGCAGGCTCGGCTGACTGCAATTAAGTGAAGCTCTTTCCGGCTCAGCTGCATCACTGTTTTCTGGCAGGTCAGTGGTAATTCTCACATCGACACATCTGGGATCGATCTCCATTACTCGCAGAACACGTAGTGCAATCTGAAAAGCGATAGTAAGGTGAATGAAACATCTACGATTGAGTACCACTTTCAGGACGTAAATCTTACCAGCTGAACCGCCATACGTCGATGATAAGCACGTGGAAAGAAGCGAATATGATGCTGACAATCGGCACTTTCAATAGCAGTAAGGATTTCCAATTGGACCTCAAATGCGACATTTCAAACAGAGTAATGTCGATGCAGAAAAACAGTAGTACCTCGTTAAATTTTTCCTCGCTTATTAAATCGGGCATCAAATTTGTTACGGCCACATGAAACGCACAGTCCACAACAAGTAGTGGATGCGGTATACAGGCGATTCCATCACGCTCCCGAACATCACGCAAGTGTTCCTTCGTCACCTAACATGCATCAATTATATTAGTTCTCTCGATTAACTAATCCAAAGTCAAGAAAAATACAGAACTTGCACTTGAGCATGATTAAAAAGGTAAATTTCAGAACATTCGCCACGTCCCTTTAAATGCAGTTGTTTCAAAATGTTTTCAAGAATGGCGACGACGAACAAGCGACTGTGAGAAGATTCGCCCAATTCACACCTCTCACTCTCAAAGCAAAAATCAGTAAGTCGCGTTTCCATCAATAGCAACGAGCCAAACCAACCATCCACCACCACAGGGTTGACTGGCACAGACTCGTCGGGCAGATATTTAAAAAAACCCGATATTGTCATCGACCGTCCCTAGCAATTCAATGCATGTACTGAACCTGCATTCAAACACTGTTACGTGCGGGTCTGCGTTGAAGTCGAATGCAAAGTTATAGCCCAAATGGGACTGTTCAGCACCGACAACTCTACACTCTCCGCCTTTTTCGTTAGAGGAAACACTCCACTGAATTCGCAGGTAAGAAAAGAGAAATTGCGGCGTAACGAGCACTACATCTTTTGGGGCTGTCATCATCAATAACGCGCAGCAGCGCCATGAAATCAGCTCAGTTTACACGCGTGAAACAAGCATAAGGATTGCTTGGAGATACATACCTTGTAGTAAGGTACATAAAAGCGTGGTCCAGGAGCGTCTTGATCCGGTCTGAACCAGTGAATATCGGGGATGATCTCAGAAGTTGATGGGCAAACGAGATCATCACGCAGAGGAGCTCTATCAAGAATTCCCCGACTATATGCCGCATTAAGACTCTAAAATAATTATGTATAGCAAGCAGTACAGTAAAATAGACAACAAACAAAAAATGCTGTTAACCTACAGCAAACCACCAGTGTACGATGTAAAACCTAACTCGAACAACAACAGTACCTGGTGAAATGGTGGCAGAACATAATCGATTCGCAGATGCGCTGTGATCGGAGCAAGAATCTCCCGGAGTTCGGCACCACTCAAATCACCCCTTTTCACTCCACGTCTACTAATGGAATGTGAGGTATCAGCCACTACATTCGGTTCACGCTCCTGAATTCGATAGCAAGAATTAGAAAGTTAAGCAGATGGTACCATGAAATTGCTAGTACCTCCATACGATGTAACAGCTCATGTTCTCCCCATCGGATGACCGCTTCAAGAACGTCGACTTCAGTTGCCTGGAAAATTTTCATTGCTTTCCTCAATGCTTAAAAAAGGTGTATGTAAATGAGAGATTAACTATTATAATATACCTGTAGAAATTGACTTTTAACGCATCTAACAAGACTTTCGAGAGAAATATCGAATAAACAATGAGTTGAAGCGATCTGGGAGAACTCTGATTCCAAATAGCTGAAATAGTTCGACAGTAATGCTCAGTATTTTGAACACTGCCAGTGCAATCTGAGGTGGAGGTGACGTAAGCTTAATTACAGACACCATCACATATGATGAAGTCTTAGACCAAAACTCACTCAAGCCTTCCTCCCCTCTGAAATTGGTCAAATGGAACCATGCGGGAGAATTAAAGTAATCACTCATATACGGGGCATCTATGTGATTGTATGAACAATGCATATACCAAAACTCCTCTGTTGTTTTGAATGCTCAATGCGCAGATGCATTTCAAATAGAACTAGTAAAGCCAAGTCTTCTTTTTTTCTGAGAGCTTTTCACCAGTTCGGTGATTCACATCCACTGGGGACGTGTGAGTTAGAGGGATTTTATCGTCCCGTGAGTGTGTGACACCGTAACCCCCTAGCGCACCACTACCCACCCCCGTGGGCTTCACCCGGGGTACCTTTCCTTTGCGTCGTATATGCGACCGGTGTTTTGGAGGCGCTTCAGCGTGTGTTTGGGTTACTGNGTCACACATTCACGGGACGATTAAATCCGTCTTGTGACGTGTGATACTTCATTTCTCTTGCGATCTCGCGGAGCAATTCGTGTACAAGGCCGATAACAACAAAGTCCTCTGAAAAGATTGAGGAAACTCATCACAATGGGACCAAGTCAATTTCGATTAGGCGTATGTAGTTGTTTTGCAAAGCCAAACTCAAATCCGCTCTCTGTTTCTCGTAAACAATCGACTTCCGTTGAAGAAGGATAGAAGGGTATAGCAGCGTATTGAGGGGTGGCCTAAAAGCTGTGGCAGTAGCCTATAAAAGTGCGAACATGAGTACCTTATAATACCACGAGTCGAATTACCAGGCCTATTCTGGGCCCCTCCTGTGACGGATGTTGCTCCTGTTCTTAATAATAAACAACCATTGAGGACGCAACGCCCGCCTCAACGGGAGCTTCCGGCGAAGTGGTTTTTCTACACCCGAGTAACACGATTAGTAAAGGAAAGACTTGAAGGTTATTTAGTTCTAGAACTATCGACTGACGATCACGCCATGAGCAGAAATCGCTACTCACGCCCCCCCCCCCCNTAGCCGCCTGGTCTCAAATATATGACCATTGTACGAGATTCTCAGACTATTGGCGGTCGGACAATTCTATCGGAACTGAGCGGATTTAATAGAACGTGACCCCCCATGATATCATGCCATTGAGGCTGCAGTCTTACTCTTTGCACATTTCAATGCAATATCCTCAGCACTCACTGAAAAGGGATAGTGAGGATGCGCAGACACAGCCCACTAAGAACTAACCAAATGCTATCAAAGAATTACTTAGCAGGTAATGAGACGAACACGAGACCGTCAGTACGAAATGTGGGCATTCAGGTGAAGAGTTGGCCAGACTCTTCAATTGGGCCACATAAGAGACATGAGAGAAGTTCATCAGACAGTTTCCATTTATCGACTTTTGCACATACCTCTGAGCGCACCGGGCAACATACTGAGAGCCGCCATCGCAGGCCCACGTACAGATGGAAACGCAACTTTCTGGACACAGGGAGGCCACAATTACATCTTCGCATACTGAAAATAGTTTCCTGCTTTTTCACACCATCAAATATTCTTTCAATGATTTTCCCATACTAAGGGATCTAGAAAAGAAATGGCTGCTCTAGTGAATTGTCTTCACTTCAGAATTGAGCTACAAACAAAACGTGAAACTAAAAATGTGAAACTAAAAATGCCAATTGTCCGTGTATATTTTCGATCTGGCCCCAAATTACCAATCCCACCTTCGCGGAGTCAAAGCTAATGCATTTAGAAACAAATCAGCACAAATGTTTTGCAGCACTTTTAGAAGAAGCATGGAAAAAAATGAGGGTGACAAAAAGGCGCCCGCCTACTCACATTGAACAAGCTTTTCCAGAGCGAAAAATTTGGCGATGTGAATCAGTTGTATAGCCCTATGAAGTGGGGAGTGTGGACTCCGACCAGCAACAATGGCTCGCGCTTCAGAGAGTGATGACTCCGAAATAATCGTGTCAGGAACCTGAAATCATGATAGTGGCGTCAAAACAGTTCCATGATCTCAGTTGTTAAGAATAGGTCACACTCTCCCTGCTCGATTCAGTAGAGGTATGACACAAAAAATAGCTGAGCAGAAGTGGAACTATTCGAAAAAATATTTGCCAACTAACCATCGAAAAGTCCAACTCATCCGTGTATATAAAGTGGACAACCACTGGAGCAAAACCACGGGGAAGTAGCGCCTCATCAAGCACAATACGACCATCCTCACCAACGTGATTAAGAAGTCCACGGAATACTGCGCTTCTCGATGACAAAATTGAAGAGTCGCACCGGAAGCTATATTCAGGAGGATGTGCTGCAAAAAGCTCCAGTAGTTCAAGATAAACTTTGGGTTCCAGAGCCTTCAACAGTGGCGCCAAAGGTACCAAATAACGTCGTTCATGAAAATCGTATTGCGCCCTAGAGCCCCTTGAAGTTTTCTGCAAAATGCGACCAATACCACAAAATCAATTTCATTCACGGTCTAGGTATGAAAAAGACTCCTCTTTCCGACATTACACTCAGGGGCACATTACAAACTTCAACTTATGAGAATAGGGGTGCACTGCTTTGCTTCTTTAGGATAAAATGGAAAATGCATTATGATAGATAGAGCGAACAACGTACCTTTAGTCGAGTCGTCATTGATTGGGGTTGAAGAAGTAAGTACAATGGTAAGATCTCCATGCTCAAAAGCCATTTCCTCGGCTTTTCGCAGACTCGTCAACAAGTCTTGATTACAACCGAAACACTCGCGTAAAGACTGCAGCATATCTGCACTGCCAGGCCATACATCAGTATAGAGGTATGTGACGAACATGCTAGAAACAAATATTGAAGAGAAACACTAGATCTGATGAAACGAAATATAAGAATGAAATTGATTTGAACACAACCAACCCAATGTCTTGAGCCGTGAAACGTTTCCCTTCGAAAACTGCGAGGTCTAACTCCATGGTTTCCTTACCAGCGAGATATTCTGCAATAACGCTACAGCGACTAACAACCAGACGGCGATGAACACGATGGTAATCTCCCTAAAATTTTCGACTGTATTGAGCGGAAACAATTCAGCCAGTTGAAAGACACCTACCCCAATTTTGAGGACTAAGTCCTTGCTTTCACTTGAATGGAGCTCTTCTCCAATGCATGGCAGTGATGGCCTAGCAGAATCAGCCGCATTTTGCAAAAGCGAAAGGATCCGTGATGTTTCCAGTTCCTACAACATTACTAAGCTCAGAGGGAAATGGGTCAGAACAAGCCTTCTATTAAAAGAAGACAAATAAAGCAAAGGAGAAGACAAAATGACAGCGAGTGCATAGACGTTTTATGGGACACGTCTCTTATTTTGGGAAAGATTAGTGAGAGTGAGTTTGAATAAGAAAAACGGTACACAAACCACTCACCCTGTACAGAGTCTCTACATCGTGGATCGGCCATGTAGCTATTAAATCCCGAAAAGGTTTGACCTTATCTCGATTGTCTCCTTTACGCTAAACAAGAAATACTGAGGTAAGTCGAAAAAACGATGAGGAAAGCATGATGATCCGCTTGAAAGAGCTTATTGATAACGTGCTCCGGTTTCAAACTTCGCATTCCAAATGCAAATCCCACCGTTCTCCATAAATACCCACCTTCTAACTAGGAAATGCTACTGCATAGAACATTAATTATTGTGAATCGTCCCTTGGCTTCTGGATCCCTGCTCTCTGCGTTAATGAGATACCCGTTCTTTGCCTAGCTCTCTCCGAACTATGCATTGAATATTACGACTGAAATGGTGTTTCTACGCGCGAAGTCCGAATACGAGTGGGACGCTAATTTGTTTCAAGGTGCGCAGAAGGATTATGAAATTATGGCATTAGAAAAAAAGATTGCTAAAGTAAGGAATCGAAATCACCTCAGATGGACTAACCTTGAAGGGTAACTTGGGCAAGTGCTTCGTTGACGATTGCGCGAGTGAAGCTAGTCGGCTTCTCGTTTTGGGCGTACGTTGTTCAGCTGTTGGTTTGAGACGTTCCAAATCAGTCGAAGAACGACTCCTTGCTCGTAAAGAGGACGAACCTCCGCCCATCAAATTGAATACTCCAGCTGAATTACGACATACTCAGTCACATTTTTACGAATTCGAGGAAAACGAACGTAGTAGCACACAAAGAACAGCTGCCAATTGAGTTTTGGGCGTACGTTGTTCAGCTGTTGGTTTGAGACGTTCCAAATCAGTCGAAGAACGACTCCTTGCTCGTAATGAGGACGAACCTCCGCCCATCAAATTGAATACTCCAGCTGAATTACGGCACACTCAGTCACAATTTCACAAATTCGAGGAAAACGAACGTAGTAGCACACAAAGAACAGCTGCCAATTGAAAGAAATGTAGAGAAGCCACATAATTGCCCAAAGTAATTGCCTTGATCCTATCAGATCGTCCTACTAACATAAGACTAGGTGGGTTTTCAGTGCTAAACAGCCGATATTTGAGGTTATAAGTGGGCTAAATATGTGTCCGCAAATTTTAGCTTGTGGAGACACTCTGGAAGCTTTCTCCGCTCGCTTCCCGATTCATCACCGAAACTTCATATGGTAGGTAGCCAATAATAGGACCGATTAGTAATACACCAAATCCAGTAAAGGGTGGAAAGATATGGCAGTTAGAGAGTAGTAGATGAGGAGTTTTAGCATGAAACTGCTTGGTGAGCGCTATGTAACAGTTTTCAAATGAAAGGACTAAGGCCATTCAATTATAAGATCATCACTGCCCATCGCTTCTATACATTGGTGAACATATACAGTAGCGCTCAAGTCTTCGGTGAAGTGGTTCTTCAGCCCTACTTTTTCAGTCGTAACTCCTTTCCTACTGAATCTAATCATGCGAAATTTCTATATTT